ATTTTAAGTGTGGGAGAGCCATGCTTCGGCACGAATGGGCCGGCTCGACCGGAGTGATACCACGGCCTCACAGAAAACCGACGTGAAGCAACGCTTGCGTTGTGTTTCGTCGTGTGAGTGAGGTTACCGGAGGCCCAATTACCTTCCCCTTCCCCAATCTCCCCAATCCCTGAATCCCCAACGATCCTCAAACTCCTAATCCCCAAAAAGCCGGTGACGCACTTGTAACGCCTCTGGTGTTCCAGGTGTCCATGGGCGACGCCGATTGCTTACCATCAGGTGATCCGTCTGCTCGGTTACCGGCTTATGCCATAAAAAAAAATAAAAAAAATCTCTTTACGCAAAAATATCTCTAAGATCAACTATCTCCGTGAAAATTTATGCTTGAATACAATGTTGTAACGGTGTAACATCCGAAGTCGATTCAGCTCGAAGAAATTAAAGTTGTTACGAAACAAAAATATCACATCCAAGTCAGCGACAGTGTTTCGCAACATGCGTTCGGGACAAATGCGCCATAGACCAGATTAAACATCATGATTACAGATTCGTCACATGGGAATAAAAACAAAATTAAAGGTTAGTTACGATCGAAATTATCTAATAACTGAGTTCAATTCAAAATATGTTTGTCGAGTTTCTGTCAAAAACCTAGATCGATACGAAGTTTTTGATTTAAGATCGGATTATTATTAATTTTCGCCGTAGCCCTAAGTAAGTATTAAGTAAAGCAGTAAGTAGTAACGATACTACAGGACAATAAGAGCAAAAATGTTATAATGACTATTGGATTCAAGCACAAATTAAATTTATTTTCCTTAAAAAATCTCAGTTACCTAATTAAGAATTAATGTATACAGTCTGTCGAATTAATTGTCAAAACTAATCTTTGATCGCGTAGCACATCGTATCTACCGTGTTCGCGCCAACAACCGCGCCTTCCAAACCGGCTTTAATCATCCTACATATGAACGTGAAAAACGCTGCGTTTTTATTACAATTATTATAAAAATTAGTAAAATGAGATTTATAAATATTGACTAAAAAGCAATTATTTTTAAACAAAAATTTAACTAGCACTAAATACAATTTGGCATGCTATAAAGTCAACTGTAATGAAGGGCTTCAGTGAAGAACTATCTATAGATCCTATAGCTCCTACTGATGTCCTTCTAACTAATGTACTTTTTGTATTTCAAAAAGAAAATATAAGTAACCAACGCTATAAACTTGATCCTTACTTAAAAAGTTACCTGTCACTTTAGCGTTCAGCCCGCAGCGTTTTTCACGCCCGTCTATGTTCTCTTGGAAAGGTCACTGCAGTTTCATTTTCGTGTTCCCGTGCCATTCGCTCGTTGAATGAGAGACGAAACGAACGTAACTACTAGTGTTTGTGTTGATATTTCGTAACCAGTGGTCCGCGTGTATTTTCTTCAATAACAATGGCAAATCTGAGTATTTTTGTGCCCGTTCTTCTTCTGGCTTTATTCATCAAAGAAGGTAAGTTGCTTTTTATTTTTTAAACACTTTATTGGTCACCTCTTCTCGTTTGATTTTAAATTTGAATGTGGAATAAACGGATATTAGAAACACGTTTTCGATTGCGTTGCAGTTGGCGCCAATTATGCAGATTAGGTTATTTTTTTATAAATTGGTGGTGTTTTTTTATATGATGCTTGCTTCATGTTATTTAATTTCAATTTTACTTACATAAGCAATCGTGGTCACATACTAGATTACATTCACCATAGCAAATGACTTTAGTGGTAAATAGGTAGCTAGGTAAGCAAGACTCATAAAATTATGGCAAAATTTTATTAAAAATAAAGAACAGCGTTAAATTTATTGGGTATAATATACTTACAATCAATTAAAATAACATTTTATTTTGTGATTTTCCAGCGATTAGAATATTATTTAGAAAGTTAAATATGCTTACCTACATATAATAAATAATAACAAATATTTAAAATGAAAGAGTTTAAAAAAAACAGTACAACATGTATTTCTATGGCACAAATACTGGCATTTAAATCTTAAAATGACAGACAAAGGGGGACAAGACATTGACACCAGAGA